CCCTTTCTGTGAAACAGGCGCGCTTCAAGGTCATTCTGCTTTTGGTTTAGGGTGCTCTAAATACAGCAAGAAAGCAAATGACCGGCAATGGCTTTGTCTTGCGGATGGTGACACACTGCATGCCACTAAGTGCTATTTCCCATTGAGTTTTGACACTGGTCTTAACCCTCTGGGATATTTTTGAAGAAAATAGAATTGAATTAGGGGTTTGCTTCAGATTACACAATGTGATGTTTGGTTACGACATGCAGAAGAACTGGCACGGCATTTACTCACCCCTCCTGAAGCCTGCGGACCACTTCTTGCATGCACTGCGTGGTAGCCACACTGGACGCCGAGTAGCTCTTTCTCTTCAGTTGCACAAGTCTTACAGTTGAGAGGTTGACCTCAGATCTCAATGCAATCTCCTGAGAAAGCCTCAATTTTGCGTTAAAATTGTATTTAATTTACTGGAAATTCTTGGCTTTCATCACCTACCCCGATCATATCAAAGCTGATATCCTCTCCATGTTATAAAAGCTTGTAGTTGCAAACAGGCCTCTTCCCCCTCTTATTTCTGTATTGAAGTTGATTATCTTGCAGCGATTCATAGCTGTGTTTCCTTCTTGTGGTAGTTTGAACTTTTCATCCAACTGGCATCACGAGTATTTCCATCTCTTCCTTTTTAGGAGCATCATTTCTTTGGGAAAGAAATGCTGAGGAAATATTTCTAATTATTTTATCTCCTTAATAGGAAACTGCTGCCCCAAACTCTCTCTCTTTTGCATTTGAAAAGCTGTCAACTTTACTGTGTGGTTTGCTGACTGAGTTCCTCTGTCACTCTGCTCTCGAGAGGAGAAATCGATGGTCTTACTCTTGTAGCAGTGGCAGAAGCTGGAAAAGTGGTTCTAGTAGTTGAAACCCTCTCTACTCATTTAAGCGTATGAGGTTTTTTTGTTTGCTTGGCAATGCACTCCCATTTCATGGAAAGGAGAGGCATTTTCCATCATGAGGCAGTATTACGGTTGGCTGTAACCGAATATTTGAGGGGATGAATCACCGACTCTTGGGCTGCGTGTTGCAGAGAAAATGAGCCTAATGCCACTTGGAGCTGACTTCTCCATTGGCGTGTTCTGTCGGATGATTGAGAGGAGGCCTCTCTCGAGTAGGCTGGGCATCCGCGCTGCCAGGCAGGTGCAAATCCACTCAAATAGCATTCATTTCAGTGGCTGATGGTTATATTCACCCCCCCGGGACTTCCAGCTGTGACAGGTTGGTCAGTCTGTGCAGCTTGCAACTCCTTCGTGCATCCACGCACGTGCTCGAGCCTGCCAGGAGAGCAGCTGCTGTGCTGTAGCAGGGGTGGTCCCGACGGCCGGCGGAGCCGTGAGGGGGCACAGGAGGCTGCTGCTGGCAGGGCTCCGGCGGGGCCCCAGCAGCTGCTTCTCTCCTCTGCAGGGGAGGTGTCCAGCTCGAACGGCGTGGAGCCCGGTGCTTTGTTTAGGGGAAAACAGGCTGGGACGGCCGTTCGGGGTGGGTGTCCTGCAGGTGCTCTCTGGTGTAAAGGAGGCGGTGTTGGACACTGGCGTTCTCTGCTGTTCCCACAGTATCAGAGAGGTATCGGTACCAGATACTTCTTACAGAATAAAAATTTGATCAAATGTTTGGCAACATCATAGTCCTGTATCCCAAAGTAACATCTGATGGTCAGAATTCAGAGTGAATGGATGACCCCTGCCTGTTGAAAAGCAGGTACTGGCTGCTGCTTTTACCATTTCTTGCACTTAAAAACGTGGGGTTGAGCTTTTATTAAAATACCACTTCAAAGTAAAATAAAAGTGTTATCGCTTCTATAAATCTGACTGCTGTTGTGAACAGCTTTCACAGTCTTGTTATTGCTTTCTAAATTTGCCAAAGAATATTCCTCGGGCAAGTGCAAAACTGATGGGATGGGGCTTTCTAGCACTGCAGTGTGTCTGAACAACATGGGGGAAAGCGGTCACAGCTTTTAACATGGAGAACCTCTTTTCTTTCTATCCTGTAGCCTAGCTCTTGCTGGTATTCTCACGCACAGTCGCTTCATCTGAAGACTTTTGGATCTGCTTTGACTTGCACTATCTGTTTAAGAAAATGGTGTTTGCATGATGTCATTGTAGCCTTGACAGGAGGCAATAGGCTTCTGTTCCAGTGGCCTTCCAGAGAAACTTGCTCTTACTCTTGTGCTGGTGCTTAGGAGTATCTTAGCCGTTAGCTCATAACGTATTTGGGTTAAAGAGTGTCTTGATGTGATATTAAAACATGAAAGGTAAAAGTCACAAACCACACTGAATTCTCCAATAGCATAATTTTTAAGAAAACTGGTATACTTTGGTCAACAATTGGTCACAACATTATAATGGGAGACTGCTAAATTTTAAAACCAGTTGCCGAGACTCTTAGCTGTGTATCTACTGAAAAAGAATTTAAATGGATTATGAAAGATTAGTTCTCTTCTTTAGCTGTGCTTTAACAGCAAAACAAACGTGGCCTTTGTCTCAGGAGACTGAGCTACTGACTCTTGGGTGAACGCACTAGGAAAGAGCCTATTTGTCTGTTACCGTATGCTTGCTGTTATGCCCGGCTTTAAGTATATCCTGCCAGGTAGGACAAGAGGCTTATTTTGGCCTATCTCGATACTGCTGTTGTGATATTCTTGTTTTGCTCCTTGAATTTTTTTCTTCTTTTAGACAAAGTCTTTAAAAAAAAGTTTCCAAGTGAGTTGTTCGTTCTTTCTTTTCCTTCTGTCTTCAGGGACTCTTCAGCATAGTTCCTAAAAGTGAAAGCAGAGTCAACCGTAAAGACTCACTGCCCACGATAAAGGCTTAGAGTGCTGCTTTTCCAGATACAACTGCATCTGTGCCCTGAAGAAGTACAGTCCACTTTGGTTACAGCGCTTTGTGAGCAAGCCCAACTGTTCCTGAACCAAACGTACTTAAGGGTGAGTTGATCATAATTGCTTGTTTCTAATCATGCTTTAAATTGTCAAACAGAAAAACCTAGGTTTCAATAATCAGTTTTGATCTTGACTTCTGTCTATTTTTGTTTCCTTAGGTAGGTTCTTACTCATTGCTAATCCCTAAAATACAGCTTTTCCCTACTTGTTTTGATGACAGAGTAGATTCACTGTGTTAACGTTTTCTTAAGTTTCAGAACAGCTTAACTAAATTCAGAGTCTAAATCTGTAACACACTAACAATGCTGTCTTACATTTTAGTAACATAAAGTTACTAAAGTTAACATAAGTTACTGAAATACTCTTAAATGATGTGGATTCATAAATAGATGCATATTTTTTTCCTTCGAAAGACATGTTTTACATTTCATGTAACTAGCTCTTCTTTAAAAAACAACCAACCAAAAACCTCCCAACCTTTTAAAGTCATTTGAACCAATTGTGATCTTACACGATTCCGTTCAAGATCTATGCAACCTGTATTGCCACCCACACATCTACTTTTTACTCGCTGACTGAGAAGATAACAGCTGTATTGGCTCACATGGAAGGACTCCTGAGCCTGGTGTCCCGCCTCTTGTTGTGGTCAAACTGCTTAGAGAATAAGGCAAGCATGTTGTGATGCTGAAACCCTTTTAATGATCTGTGGTTTAGGAATTTCTTGAACCAGAAGTCAAGATCTTGTATTTTTTTGCAATTAATATCCCTTGAGGGATTGCCCCCCCAAGTTAACCTTCCGTTAATTTCTTAATACTGAACTTTCCACCATGCTAAAAGAAGATAATGTACTTCAAACCTACAGAAGCGTCTGTGAGAGCTTGTTTGCAGTGCTTTTCCAGTGACAGCTGTACATCCAGAGACTTGCTCATATGACCAGTGTCTGGCTTCCCAAATAACGTTGGTAGGATCTTGTCCCAGTTGGCAGCCAGCAATTGCACAGTTGCCAGTTGGCCTTGATGGTAGGGAGCTTTTGATATTTGAAAGGTGGCAACTGTCTTTGACTTACTTTTAATTCTATGATGCTACATGTCTGCTGTTAAATAGATTACTTAATTGTAGAATAGTAATAACCTGTTACAGGATATTCACCTAACTTCTAGCTTAAATGTTAAACTTGATTCTTCAAAGAATAATATGAGTTTAGTTTTAAAAGTTAGTTACTTATTCTGGCATTTTTGAAGTGCATAAGTGGTGAAATGGTGTCTTTTGAAGGGCTTTATTTTGCCTGAGACTTTACATAACATTCTATAGAAATGTACCCTACGGCTTGAAAATAACTTGTAATGAGGCAGGGTTTTGAATCCTTTTGCTCTTTCTAGCATTCTCAATTCTGTGATTCTGAGGGACTGCCCTACAATCCCAGTTACTAGTGGACCTGTATTTGATCCAAACCATTTGAATCAAGAACAAAAGAATGACTGAAACAGTCTTGGAATACCCAAAAGGGGAAGGGTGGGTTGACGCTAGGGCCGAACAAGCATACGACCTGCACAGAAAACACCCCTTTCAAAATCCCAGTTAGATTTGTAGGCATTAAAATGGTGTCTGTAATTCCTGTTTATTTCAGGGTCGGTACTTTGTGCTGCTTTGGGTGAGAATTCAGTTGATTCAGGCACGTTCCAAAAAGACGTGTTTATGCGCAGATGGGTTAAACCCAGAGTTCACTGTTAAATCTATTGTTTGTTGAGATGATATTTTGTAGAGTGAGTCTGGAAATGACACTGAATATTCCTGATGTGAAATGAGAACCTTAAATGTGCAGCCTTAAGTAAAGGCGTGGCTTGAGCAGTATGTCTCTAAGGGGTAAAGAACAAATGAAACTGTTAATACTTACCACTTAAAGTGTGCTAGATGTAAGGACAAAGTTGTTCCTCTGCATCCAAAAACCATGGAAGAACTGAGAAATAATAGGTAGTGTAGAAAGGAATGGTGTGTGGGTGGAAGCTACTTCCCCAGTGAACTTCCTACTCCTCCTCTTCCTTCCTTTCCCCCTTCCCACAATAGACTTCAGGTACAAACCTCGTGTTTCCTAGGTGCTTTATTCACTGAGACTGATTCTGTTTACTAAAATAGGAATTCTTCTGTTATTCATTAGAAATAGTAATACTGACTCTTGTTTTGGGTTTGCTTTTTCAGACCTCCTTCTGGATGACCAATGTGTATTGTAACCGATTATATCGGGAACTAAGTCTCCAACTTCCCATACATTCCAGCTGGTAGCAACGCTTATAATGCAAAAAAATCACAATTCAGGATCACACAAACATTACTCCTAAAACTTTCTAGATGATTGTAGTTGCTTTGGTTGTGTTCTATGCTAGCAGAAGCCTTTTTCAAGGTTTACTGTTGACTCTAGAGCACCACATTCCCCGCCTACTGGGAGCCTTGGGGACTAGCAATATGGGAAACTCATGTGTTTGCCGCGATGACAGTGGAGCAGAAGACAACGTGGAATCTCAGAGTCGGCAAACAGAGAACAGTAGAGTACACGTACCTGAAGCAAGAAGCCACCCAAGGGACCCTGTCCGTCCACCCAGGAGAGGTCGAGGGCCTCATGAACCAAGAAGGAAAAAACAGAATGTGGATGGGCTAGTACTTGACACACTGGCTGTAATTCGGACGTTAGTAGATAAGTAAGTACCTCCTCAAGGAATAATTCAACATGAATGAAAATGTTCTTGTCTTCTCTCAAACTGTGACTCCATCCTCTCACCGATCTACACCTGACCCTCCCTGAAGCAGCCACGTGTTTCCATCTGGAAGCTTAGGAGAGGAGCACCTTTCCTAGGTAATAGAAGTAGCTCCTGAGTGCCCAGGTACAGACTCTTCCAGGAGCTGAGCAGTATTCTCGCAGTTCCTGTATGGGCCTACACCCAGGTGGGATGAGGAGTGTGCTCAGTGTTTCTTACCTGGCATAGATATGCAGTTTAGGAAGCAGTGAACACTCCAGAGTTTGGGAACTTCCATCCTAAAAATTGGTTGTTGTGCAAGATTTCTGTTTTCAGGCTGTATTTACTACTTTGGAAATGGTTAAGCAAAACTGAGAGCTTTGATCTTTGTTAGCTTGTATAAACAGACTGAGGTTTTCTTTCCAGTTATAAGTCTGACTACTCTTTAAAGACCGCGCGTTGTGGCTGTTCAACTCATGATCCCAGTATTGCATTCCTTGCATGCTCGAAGCATCCATTAAGGGTGTGGGGGATATTTATGGATTCATCCTTTTTTGTTTTGTTTTGTGTTGCTTTCTACAAAGCTTTAAAAGGACCTTAAAAATCATGCGTTAAGTTAGCTCATCACCTCCTGGGTTAGGTGCAGGCTAGGAACTGGAAAGGCCAAAACAGAAGGAAAAACACTATTGTAGCTTCACAGCTGGGGTTTAAGGTGGATGAGGCTTAGGATAAGTGAGCCTTGTTTCATATACTTGCCTCTTACTCTGGAATGTGCCCACAGAGGAAGAGTTTGCCTTCCTGTTGTAAAATGCTTTAAATGGAAATATCAGGACATACTTTTTTCCTGAACATTTAAATCTAAGAGGGTTTTTTTAAACAGGTTTTATTTTTGTGGTCTGTCTTCAAATCATTAAGTTAAAATCATGGCAAATTTTTTTGAAAGTCTCTCCCTAATCTTGCATGCCTTCCCCTTTCCCCTAAGTTCAGCTCCTTAAGCCGCTTCACAACACTTTTGTGCATAGTCGATCCTGTTCCTGTGGGTCTTGCAATCGGTTTTATAATCTTGTAAGCACTTCCCTATGCTACTGAGGGACAATAAACATAGTTATTTCACTGATCCTGGAGTCCTGTTTCTGACAAATTCCTGAAGCTACTGTATGTATTTTTTTTCATACAGACTCCAGTGAAATACTTTCTTAGACTCACATAATCACGGAGGTTGGAAGGGACCTCTTGACGTTCATCCACTCCAGCCTCCTGCTTAAAACCCAGGTCTAGCGGGAGCAGGTGGCTCAGGGTCTTATCTAGTCAAGCGTTGAACATCTTCAGAATATAGAGATTCTCCACCTCTTTGGGTCCCTGGTCCGGTGTTTGACCACCCCCATGGTTTAAATAAGTAACTATTTTTAAAAGTTGGAGTTTCCCATGTTCCAACGCACCCCTGTGGCCTCTTGTCCTGTTGCTGTGCACCTCTGAGAAGAGCCTGACTCTGTCCTCTCTGCTCTTTCCCATTATGTAGTTGCAGACAGCAATATGATTTCTCCTCCTTTCCACTACCCACCCTTAAGGATGAACAAACCTATTTCTCTTAGCTTCTGCTTGTATGTTATATTCTCCAGCCCTCAACCATCTTGGAAGCCCTCTGCTAGACATGTTCCCTTATAGCAATGTCTGTCTTGTCCTGGGGAGCCCAGAAGTGGGCTGTACTGGTATACCGGTTTCCCTTGTTTCATATTAAGGCAGATGGCAAGACACAGCCAGTTTTATAACACAGCTAAATATTACAAGTTCTTGCAGATAAGACAAAGACCCATGGCTATGAATAATGGAGGGTCTGTTCACGAGGCAAACTATCTAAATGTGTCTGAAAAAAGTTTAAGGAGCCTTTCTGCTAGACTTGAAGCTAATGATAAGCCCTTTTTAGATTAATAGGAATGTTCACATGGAGGAAAAAAAAAATCATGTCTGGAAATCTTGGTTTTCGGCGTAAGTGAGAGACTGTAGGAATAAGTATGCTCCATTATCACCTGCCTCCTAGAGCCTGATTTTTCAGTTTTGAAAACACCACAACTGAAGGAAATGGTAGGGAAGCTGACAAATCTCCTTTCACGTCAAAAAATGTGCAAGAATAAAGTCAAACTAAAATGCAACCATGTAAACCAAAACTAACAGCAGGTTGGAAATGCGGGCTTCAGTGTGATAGTACAGCCTTAAAGAGGGAAAGACAGCAGTCTAAAGAACGGAAGGCAAAACCCTTTTTCTGACAATTTTTTTCAAAACTCTATACTGAAAGTTAATACATGGGAACACTCAGATGAATTGTAAATTAAGTTGTTATACTGTGATCTGCAATGAACAGTTGCTTTCCCTGTTTGCTATTTGTTTGGATTTTCTTGTTGGGTTTTTTTTGTTGTTTTGTTTTATCAAATCTCAAAGTTCAGACCTAAAACATATCTGGCAACTGCTTTTTTTCTCTCATATCTAGAGATATCTCCTTTCTAGAAGGAAAGGAGTTAAGTTTCATTTCCTAGCCTCAGAAGGATAAGTACTAATTTTTGCAGTTCATATGAAGTGCTGCTTTGCAAATTAAGAAATTAGCAAAATGACTTCCTCATTTTGTTTCCAAATGAGGAAGGTGTGTGCTGGAGGGGATGTTTGGAAATTAAGTGGTTAAAATGGCAAATCCGTGGGACAGGACTCTCCTTTGCTCAGTGCCGTACTGCTAACATGGACTACCCATGACAGAATCAGAAATCTTGCTGATAAAAATGGCATCCTTTTTTATCATAGCCTTTACTGGTACGTACGGTATTTTTTTTTCCTTCTTTGAGTCTTTACATCCTTTCTCTTGAGGTAATTCTGCTTGCAGTATCACACTTCTTTTTCCTGCTGGGGAGATTAGTTTCCAGAAGAAAGGCAAAGAGATGCTTGGAGGAAAGACAAATAATACTATTTGTTTCAAATGTTACGGCAATATAAAAATGGGTTAAACTTCACTTTAGCATTTTCTTGTGGAAATATTTAAGAATGTGTTAATTCTTTGGTAAGAAAAGCACGTGTTTACATCATATATTTTTAGTCAAAACAGATTTTTTTTTTCTCTTATCTTATAATCAATCCTCCCAGAGTAGGTAGTTTTATTATCTGCATGATTAATCTGTGTTGAAATTTCCTAAAATTCATCTGTGTTTCACATTTCCAATTCCATTTCAGAGCTGTATGATAGAAATTGAGTGTGGAACTATATCATTCCAAGCCTGGGGTTAGTTCGCAGTGCCTAAGTAGCACTGAATAAAGCATTTAGGACATGGTGCTGCATAAGCTTTTTCTGGACCTGGAAGTCCTGAATAGGATTTTGAGATCTTGCTTTAAGTACTTTCAATGGCAGTGCCTGCTCACATAAACAGACCTGGCCATAGCTTCTTGTCCCTGCTCCAGCAAACCAGACTGAGGAACTGATCTAATTGGACTTTTGATGTTTTTAATATTGGAAAGGGAATTGGGTTAAATATCTTCTGTTAAACTGCCTTAACTATTTCTTGCAGCTCTTGTCAATAAGTTTGAAATCTATGATGCTGTTAGGTGGCTTGCCTTTAAGTTTTGTGGTTTGTTTTGGGTTTTTTTCATATTTATATATTTAGTAGAGAATTTCTGGGAAAACATCATGTTTAAGCTATGTCCCTTGTGCCCCGCTCTTGGTTCACTTCATGACCCCTGACATACAGTCTCTTGTTACGTACTCCGAGGGACCCTGCTAATGAATAGCACTAAGCCTAAGCATTATGTTCAGCTTTTAGACATGCAGATATGGATCACCACTTCATTTATCAGCTAGTGCAGATACGCAGATGTTGACTTTGAGCCAGAGGAAGGCTCAGATCCCATCTGTGTTTCAGATGTGAAAATGGCATGAGCAGTCTGCAGCCTACGTAACTTCCTTTTGTTAAATACTTACTGGATTCATTTTCTGTCTGTGTATTACCATTTTATTCGGTGTATTATGTTGATGATTGTGCATAAATTTTGACATGTGTAATATCTCTTTCAGTGACCAGGAGCCTCCTTATTCAATGATCACGTTGCATGAAATGGCAGAAACAGGTATCAAGGCACTGTGTTGGGCATTTCAGTTGTGACTCCAAAGTGCAAAAAACCCTGCTTCTTTTCTTTGCGAAGGAAAAGACATGCTAGCAGTCTGTGTTATGACTTGCTGTAGCTCTAGGGATGCGGGATCCAAAGCACAGTTCTGCCCTTCAGAAGCTTCACTGAGCTCATTGCATTTGCCTGATTTTTTTGAACTCCATTAAACTTCCCACGTGAACTCTCAGAAGCAGCCAACGGATGGCCTGAAACACATTGTAATGGCATTAAACCGTAAGCCACAAAGAATGTCTGTTTGCAGTAAGGCAGAAACAACCCATATATGTATGTAGACATGGTTTAAACCCACGTGCTCCAGTGTTGGCAAATAGTACGTAATTTTTGTTTTGGGTTTTGCTGTCCTTAGACCTCTGCTTTATTGATGTGGTTGTTCCAACCCTGTCCCTAAGTACTCCTGCAAGACGAGCCGTGTTTGTGCAAGGGCTGTTTTATCTTTGTTACAGTAGGAGAAGTTCTCCCAGCTCAAGACCTCCACCAAATTTCTGGCTTAGGTGAATTTTTGTCTCTCTTAGTAGAGTTGGTACTGGTCTTAGGAAATGTATTTCTATATCAAAATAAATTAATCAACCTGATTAGATATTACAGCAATTCAGTAGAATGTTTTTCAGGGAAATGTGCTAACAAAACTCAAGCCCCAATGTGTTACTTATATTTACCTGTCATTATTGAAGGGAGCGCTAAGTCTCTTCAGCCTCACTCGCTTGTATGCAGATACAGGCTCTATCTTTATTGTCACTTCTAAGGGAACTACTTCCTCGTAAATCCAAATCTGTTTACTTTATTAGTAGCTTAACGTCTTATATGCGGATTGTTGTTTACTTGCGAGTAGAAGCCCTTCTCTACTCATTAAACAGTGAGAGCTGTTCCTTATGAAAGGAAATTTTCTGTAGACCGCCAGGCATGGGACAAGCTAATGCAGTTCCGCTGAGGCCCATGTTACTTGAGGGAGTTCAAGAAGAGTGCTCTGATTCTGGCTAGAAGAAATATTTCTTCAGTGTCATCGTGGATGCAGCATTTAACACTTAAGAGTTGACATTGGACACTGAATATCACACTGGAACAAAGCGCTTGTCCGTACTGGTCATGAGTGTTCCTTCCTCATACTAGTGGGAGCTAGAGGATGCTCTGGCCTGGGCAAGGCTGTTCTCCAGCTTTTTCTCTCTTCGTTCTCCTCTGAACAACAGAGGTGTTCGCTGTTACCCAAGCTGCTGTAAACTCTTTTTTTTCCTCCTTGAATTTAAACTTCTAAACTATTGCAAACTAAGACATTGATGTAAAAAGTAAACTGTTGGTTTTTTTTCTTTTTCCTAGTGTCTGTAAACTCACTGGGTAATTTTGAGGATTTTTCAATTTACATTTATGGATGTATTTTGAACACTTCAGAATTGCAGTCTTAATTCTGAGCGTTACTTCTGTTTTGTGGTTGACAGATGAAGGCTGGTTGGAAGTTGTCCAATCTTTAATTAGAGTTATTCCATTAGAAGATCCCCTTGGACCAGCTGTTATAACGCTACTACTTGATGAATGTCCACTGCCAACAAAAGTGAGTCTGAAGTGTTATGTATTTATCTGTGGCTGAATTTCAGTTATTTGTGGTCGCCACACCCATGATAGCTTCTGGGTGGGTTTCACCGGTGATGCAAGACTGTTAGCTGTTCAGAAAATGGGTGTAACTTGCAACTTTGAGTAATTTGTGGTGGCTTGGTATCTAATTGCTACTTAATGCTAGAAGCACTGCGGGGGGGGGAAGATAAATCTGGTCTATGGGGAAGAACGAGAGGCCTTTGGTCTTTAGCTGCTTTTCTTGCTGTCCTCCCCTGCCGTGTGGTACATGCATGCTGTGCAGTGAGGGTGTACAGATGCTACAAAAGCAGTACAAGTTCCACTGTTTCGTTCTCAAGTTCTGAAAGCTGCGCATTTACAAGTCACTATTGAATTTGTTCCTGCCCTGCACATAAGGAATGCAACACAAGTGGTAAGTTAAACAAATGACATTTTTTAAGTACAAAATATCTAGATGCAGTTTTGGCAAACTTGAATACTTCTTTTTTTTACTGACCGCTAATCTGTTTTTTGGGTGGAAAGATGACCTGAGGTGTTCATACTGTGTCGGCGTGGGTGTTTTAGTGAGAGCCTCAAGTGCTTCAAGATGCTAACCATTGTTGAATCCCTTTAAACGTGATGATTGTATAGAGAACTCGTCTGTCTTCAAATGCTTGTCATGATCTCATTTCATCAGAAATTGATGATGACATCATTGCAGCTTTCATTTATCGATTTACTTCTTATGCTGCCAATTTTAGTTTTCAGTTTGCATTCTTAGGGATATAAAAAGCTGGTAGCTTCTTGTCTTACATAAATGCGTGAGTGGCTGGAGAGCTAGTCAAGCTCTCTAACTACCTGAAGTGAGGTTTTTTTTCCTCTAGGCTGTTGATTAAAGTAGTCTGAGACTTTTGAACAAGTTAAATGTGGTATAGACTGTCACACAGACTGCAAAATGATTTTGAAAACAAAGCTATGACTAGGAATTTTGCCTGCTTTGAAAAAGAAATCAGGAAATGGAGACCGCTGTGAATGCACCACATGAAGAGTGATTCTGTATTTTTTTGGTCGGCTTTACAACGTACTTGGCAATCAAATGATTTGTTTTTCAAAAGCCACGCTACTCTTATTTAGGTACTTTAATTTTAAGGAGTTAGCTATGAAATAGTTGACCTTAACAAGACAAAAGGAATAAGATGCCTGTTTCTGGGGTGCACAGAGGGTTTTTTTCCTGTGCAATCTCTTTACGGCACAAGGAGCTGCAGTTGTGGGATCTGCTGGTTACATGCAGCCTAGTAAAGTGTTTGCTGCTGTTCATTTTCTTTCCATTCAGCGTAAGTTTTAAGTTTTTGGTCTTAAGGGTTTTAAGTCAGTGCCCCACTTCTGTGACAGCTGGAGAACAGCAGCAGGCTGTATTTCATTTTCTGTTATTGTAGGCTATAAAGTCCATAAAGTTAAAATGGCAGTGCAGTAAACTGTTTATTCTATAAAGTCTTTATTTAACTCAGAATAGTTGTTCTCTGTGACTGTTCTAATAATGGCTAAAAGCAGTATCAGAGTATGTCAGGAGTCTAATTTTAGTGAGGCTTTTCCATCCCAAGTCTGTGGCTCAGTCATCCTTTCTTCTTTCTCTATTCTTTCCACTTAGTGTCAGTCCTGTTCATCAGTTCTGGTTTTGTGGCTTTTCTTTTGGGAACATAACTGCTTTTCAGTGTTATCTCTGTACAAACCTCGGACCCTAGCGCAGTAAACTGATTTCAGTGTGGCTCAGAACACAGTTCAGAAAAACATATATTCAACTTGAGCGGTACTCACTTTTTCTCCAAATGGCCAGCTGATAACTTCAATATGAGGAGTTATTCTATTTTAATTAGATCCTAGCCTGAGATGATGCAGTTTCAGTCTGAATCAGCTGAAACTGTCATGGAGTCTGGAAATTTGAGGGGGATTTTGAACTTTGTGGGGTGGGGTTCTCCCTGTGGGATAACTTGTTCTGGCTCTAGATTAACCCTTAACTACTCTGAAAATGGAGGGTATGCTCTAGATCTGTCTTGAATCTTATCCATACCATACTGCCTGAATGAAGCAAGTCAAAGCATGGCATTTTAGATTTATTACCCTCACTGGTTACTTGCTAAACTACTGTGACTACAGAAAGCCATTTATGCTCTCAAGAATACCATTTATGATGTCCTGTAAAGCTGACAGCATCCTAAATTTACAATGGGGATGTAGGCTCTTTTTTTAGGGCGTGTCTCTCTAGTCCTGAATTCGTAAGTCTAAAACAGCCCTTTTCTTCTGGAAAGGGTGTGAGTTTTAGGACTCTCGAAACAGATTAGATGGCAGCAGTGCCATATGTGCTGATTGGTGGTGTTTGCCTTTGACTACCATTCTAGTTCCTATTGCTCTAGGTAGCTCAGTTCTGTGTGTCCAGAAGTGTCCTGGGTTGTTGATCACTGTTGTGATAATGGTGGTAATTTTAATAACCCTGGTGGTAATTTTAAAGTTACAACTCTTGGGTATGTTGAACTTCTCTTCCCATCTCTTCTTTATTATCTTCTTATCTTAGAAGATAACCATCCCATGCTGTCTGTAATATGATGCTGACTTTAGTAATATAGTGTAAAAATAATTTGTTGTCCTATATTGAGTTGGGGGAAAACTGTATCTGTCAGCAATGTTGAAGAGATTTCTGATTTTTCTTTTTCAGGATGCGTTACAAAAGTTAACTGAAATACTAAATTTAAGTGGAGCTGCTGCTTGCCAGGATGCTTGTCACCCTGCCAAACACCGGAATACAACTGCAGTACTGGGCTGCTTAGCAGAGAAGTTAGCAGGTAAAGCTGTGGGATTCTTCTGGAAGTTCGCATTTGGCTCGCTGAAGCACCTTCTGCTTTAGCACCCACATTGCAGACTAGTTCAGAAATGTTTTCTTAGAACTGAATAACGTTCTGCATCAAGGGCAGACCTTGTGTGACAGGTGTGACAAGAGTCTACTGCTTGATTAAAATGTTGAACAGTCACTAGCTTGGGTCTGAATGAGCCATTCACAATCCCAGATACATAAAAAGACCAAATCCTTCCGATGCGTGGTTAGTGATTGTGGATCAGTGTGTGTTTATGGTATGTTGCCTTAGCACTGCTAATCAGTCTTTTCTGTAGACCTGCTCTGGCTGTGTGTGAATTACTGAGAACACGTCATTCTTTAGCCAGTAGGCAGAGTACCAATTTAGTAGTCTTGGAGGCTGTATAGAAACAAGAGAAAAATGCTCTTTCCGCTAAACATGTATTGTTCTATTGTAGTTAGCTGAAAAGATTCTCTCTTCTGTGTTACTTAAAAGAAAATTGCTGGGATTCTATTTTAAGGTGACTTCTCATATAGAACTTTTTATTCCTTGTCATTTCTAGTACTCTGCTGGAAACTGAAGATTTTTTTTTCTGCTGATTGTCGGTTTTGTACCTAGTTTTTTGCTCCTTTTTTTGAAAGCAGACAGGAAAAGGAGGAAAAAGTGATTGTCCGGTATCACCTAATGGTTATTAAAAAATAATTTCAATATTTCTGTCAAAAAAAGTAAAGAACAAGGACAGGAAGCATTTTTGTACTAAATACTTCTACCCTGTTATACTAAGTCAAAATGAGAGACTGTATCTACTTTCGCCTTAGGGGTCACGGAACAGTTCTCATTGTCAGCTCAGGCAGCAAATACGTTAATGCTGTGTTGGAACCCACTGCAATTCGTTAGAGTTCGTGGATGCCAGAGTTTGATTCCCTTGTATCTCTCCCTCAATTAAGCAGGCAGTATTTCAGGGCTTTTTTTTTTTTTTTTAATTGGCTGCTTGCTATGGTGCTGCTGCAAACTGTATAATTAACTGTCAAGTAGGCTATATTAGATGCTCTGTTTTTCTTATTTTGGGCTACTGGTAAATGGAGCTGGTCTTTATACTTTGATTCTGGAAGTAAAGGGGAGCCAGTCTCGTTTCGAAAGTAATGAGCATGAAAATGCTAAGCAGAGGCTGGTGACTTCTTACTTCAAAATCTCAGAAGTGTGGCTAGAACTCTGTACCTATTTACAGCAGGTAAACTGAATATGTTTGGAATTTGCCAGTAACTGTGTAATTATTAAATGTATAGCAAATATTTGACTGGGAACAATGATAATTGTTCTATAGTATAGTCCTGCCTTGCTGCGAAGTTCTTGGATGTTCTTTAATTTGTTGCCTTGTGTTTAAAAGATCTGTGCAATGATGAGTATATGGTAGTTCCCATGGATGAATTTAATTTTTAATGTTGTTGTAGGTCCTGCAAGTATAGGCTTACTCAGCCCAGGCATATTGGAATATTTACTTCACAGCTTGGTAAGTGTCTCTGATCTTTTTGTAGGTATCCATACATAGCAATTATAATGCAACTTACTTTTTTATTTTTGTGAAAAGTTAGGGTCATGTTTGGTAAATACTAGTGACGTATGTTATAGGAAGCTGAGATTCCAGAGAGTCTGTGGGATCTCCATCCTTGGAGACAATTAGAAGTCAATAGGACGAGGCACTGAGCAGCCTGATCTACTCGAACCAGCTCTCCACAGGAGGGTGGACTAGAGGAGCTTTGGAGGTCCCTTTCAACCGAAAGCATTCTGTGACAGACTAACAGCTTTTCCTATCCGTCTGTCCTGGGTATTTATTAAATAACTTTTCTTACTGCCCATGTTTAGAACTTCCAGTCCCATCCGACAGTGATGCTTTTTGCACTAATAGCACTGGAGAAGTTTGCACAAACAAGTAAGTATTAGCCTGATACTGCTCTTAACAGTCATACTATGGCTTCTGCTGCATGATTGTCACTTGCTTCATCTGATAACGCTTGTAAGCGTGAGAGAGACTGGATTGGTGGAAACACAAATATAGAAGAGAAATGTTTGTCCACTTATAGGCAAGAAGAAGTATTTATCGCTTCAGTGATATTCCTCTACCCCTTAAAACCCTTGAGATACTTGCTGAAACTTAGTGCAGTCCTTCCCAGTTAGAAATTGCTGTAGAAGGACTTATGACACGAGGCCTTTGTCACTGAAATAAATCTGTATTAGAGCTGGAGAACAGCTATGATTGGGTGTTTGCAGGCAGGAAAAAATATTTATTGCTTTGACACCCCCACCCATGAACCCTTAAGAGATTTGCTGAAACTCAGTCGTCTTCAGCTTAGAAATTGCTACATAAAGACTTATGACATGAGACCTTTGTTACTTGAAAAGAAATAAATCTGTATTAGAGAGTTGGAGAACAGCTGTGATCTAATAGTCTCTTGATGATGCAGCTCCATGCTGAGAAGTGGTATATACGAGTGCGAAGTTAATTTCACGTCTGCTTGGGGAAAGAATTTCATGCTGTTTGTAATACTGAGGTTTAAAGACGGGGAGGGGTTCTACTGCATTTGTAGAATGTTGCTATTTTTAACTAAACTTATCCCTAGTTTCTAGCAATTACTCTTTTTTACTCTTAAATTGCAGGTGAAAATAAAATGACAGTTTCTGAATCGTGCATTAGCGACCAACTGATCTTGCTAGAGAAATGGACGGATAATCCAGACTATTTAAAACGCCAGGTTGGATTCTGTGCCCAGTGGAGTTTAGACAATCTGTGTAGGTATAACAAAGGGATGGATTAATTTAATATTAATCACTTCTCCAAAAAGATGGAGGACTACTTTGTGTTTGTTTTGTATAAGCACTTATTGTAAACATACCTGACTGCATTTGTAATCACTCCCTTCAGAAAAAAAAAAAACAGGGGCAAATAAATCCAGTGTAATTGTATGGAAAGGAAATTTTGGCAAGGAAAATGTTTGTGAAAGGAAGTGGTTTGTACTCTGCCAGTTGAAGCTGCAATGAAAATTCTTCTTTGCACCGTATTTCCTGTAACCCACGCTTCAGCAGACATGCTGAGTAGCTAAATAGTGCAGCTCTGTCTCTCTGGAACAGCTGGATTACTGACATATCCTGGTGACAGTCACTACTGTGATCATACCCCAGCAGTGCACAGTCTCAAAGAATTATTAAAGACTTTTTTAAAGTAAAGATATGGTCTTGTGATCAAGAGTGAGAAGTGTTTGACAAAGCACTTTGCTAGATCTATCCCTTTGGATGACTAACAATCATCAAAATGGCTTGTTCAGTTGTGATTTCAAGGGTGAAGCAACTCTAAGGACCTTGTAGTTTCTAATGCCTTTTAGATAAATTTGGGTAAAAGGCCTTGTTGGGCTTTATGGGGCTTTAGCCAGCTTATGGAAGGCCAATGTCAGTTGTGTTTAGTAAACGTCTAACATCTGTGTAAGTGCTGTAGCAAGTTTGGGCTATCTGAAGGGTCCTAAGATAAGATTTCTGATTTGTAAATTAACATGCATGTGTCAGCAGTTTGACACCTGGCAAGAGAAATGCTTCTGATCCTTCCATGTGAAAAGGGGATGCAGGGAGAAAGAGCTGCTTTGGCTCAGTTCAAGTTCATCACCTACCTGAAAATGAGAGGGTAAAAAACTTTAAATCCTTGTTTTCCCCTTCCACTTCTTCCCCATCCCCAAAATCTTTTCCCCTGTGATGAATCAGAAAAACTCTGCCAACTGAATATACAATACAATGGTAAATCCTGAAACAGTGGCATCGTGGTATGAACTTGGACGCCTTAAATTTGCCTGTGGGTTTCCTGAAAGTAGTAATTAGATTGTAGGAGCTCTAGTCAGAGGTATAGGTCGTGTTCTCATGTTTAGAGGATATTTAACACACGGTGTATTGGAAGTGATGCTGTTTTCATGCAGGCAAAATATCAATATTTCATTCAGTTATGCCAAAAATTAACTGGATCCTAGAGAGATTGCTTGCCACTGTGCGAAATGTTTAAAATGAGGGTTTGCTGCAGCAGTGATTAAAACTCGTTTTATTTTGCAGTTTTAAAAGAAGGCAGGCAGTTTACATATGAGAAGGTTGACTTGACCAACATTAGGGCTATGCTGAACAGTAACGATGTCAGTGAATATCTGAAGATCTCGCCACATGGATTAGAGGTAGGATGTCACTTCATGATTTCAGCCTAAGAAGGAGTCTGAAGGAAAAGGCGGGTTTTAACTATTTTTCTTTGCTACTTGCTCCGGTGATTTCCTAGAATGAATCAAAGTTCTCTGCCAGCTTTGCCTAGAAAACTTGTTTTGTCGGAGGGTTGTAACATTGCTACACTGATCTCAATTGTAGAAATGTTCACGGTAAAGTAACAGCTGTATCTGTGCCCCAAAACCTCAGAAAAGTGAGGAGGATTCTTAAGTCAGCTGGCTTTTCGCTTACTCTGACCGAAATTGTTCACAAAGTATAATTCCTATTGTTTGTCCTGTCTAGTCTTGAAAAGCCCATAGCAGTAGGATTTTTGTCTCAGCCATATGTTTTTTTTTCCTTCCTCTGTTACTGTTTTAATTCATGTAACATGGAACACCTCTCCGTCCTTCGTACCAGGAGTCAGCTAACAGCCGATGACTTAGGTCTTCCTGTCCTGGTTGTCTTAGTCTTTAAATCTTTAAATTGACTCTGTCAACACTCTGTTTTGTTACTGGTTTTTTTTTTCTTTTCCTGTGGCTTACCGCTGAACAATTTTCTGTCTTGCTTACTTGCTAGTTTGTGTGACAATTATTGCTATAAAGAGAGGTCATTTTCTGTCTGAAGTGCCTCTAAAATTATGCTGGTGTATTCTTATATGCAAGAAACTTTATCCAGGGAAGAAAGGGGCTTGTTTGAATGCTAATTTTGTAGCAACTTAACTTTTGGGTTGGTTTTGGTAGGCTCGATGTGATGCCTCATCCTTTGAAAGCGTTAGATGTACGTTCTGTGTCGATTCTGGAGTTTGGTACTATGAAGTTACAGTCATTACTTCGGGAGTGATGCAGATAGGATGGGCTACCAAAGACAGCAAATTTCTCAATCATGTGAGTACATGTAATGCCATCTATGATGATGTAACTTCCGTATTTTTCTACTTACAACACCTATGAAAATAGCTCTGGTTATTCTGTGGTAGTAACTGAGCATTTGCGTGTTTCCTTCAATTTTTCTGTACTTTCATGAAGCTGTTTTTACTGAAGTGTTAGAGGTACAAGAAAAGGCTATATTGTCATTGCTGCAGACTGACGCTGTTCACACAAGTAATGCGTAGCTGCTAGCAGTGACAGCTTGTAATCTGCTTGCTCTTGTCTGGAAGCTACAGGGAAATGGCTTATTTCTTGTGGCTTAGTCTCTTCTGGGAAATTCTTTAGGTAACAGCGGTAGTGACTGTTTGTTTGTATTTGTGAAGTAAACGATTGCTTACTAGGAACTAGCAGATTATCGTGCGTTCACTTTTACACAGGTCGCAAAGCAGCCATTTGATTACCCTCTTAAACGTACTTTCATATTAATTTTCACAAGGGAAATAATTATTTAAATCAACTCTGGGATAGCACAGTATCACTGAATCTGCTGGTAGCAGTAATATGGTATGGTTTGGGTATGTGATGGCTTTTTAATTAAAAATAAGGATTACAAAAAGATTTAATCATCTACCTTCTTGCCTTTATTCTGTTAATACAGAATAAATACACTGTCTTATTTTATAGCTTGCTTTGCTCTCCCTCTCATCCAGATAACATAGTATGTTAGTCTTAATTCTAAGTATTCTTCCTACTATTTTACTCTTAAAATTATGTACTTACTAGCATTGAAGCACAATGTGCCATGTGCACATGAAGTCTAAACCTATAGTCAAAGAATAATCTCAAATGTTCTTCTTAAATCTTCGTGGTAACTGTACGGCTGTTGTAAACTCAGTATGCTGTAGCATATTTGCTTCAGTATTTCCATAATACTAAGAAAGCGTAATGATTACTACCCAAAAACTTCTCTGCTTCAGTTTAGGACTTTTCATGTTATCAGCCTTCCCAACTTCCATGAAAGTTCATTGAGGTGCAAGCTAGAATTTTAGTACAAAAGCCATGTATGGCCCAGCCTACCGCCACTGACCAGAATGGAAATACAGGGCTGTGGGATTTTAAGTTGACAATTCTACTGGCTGAGCTTGAGTAAGAAATATACCCTTAGCCCTGCTTTACTGTTGTAATTGCATGGCTTTCTGTTCCCACTTGGAATTTAATTTAGGAGAAGATTATGTGTATATATATATATAAAAAATGTAGACATAAGCAGTTAAAACTGCTCATTTCTGATTATTATAGAAAATGTCATTCTACAGCTGACTCAAATGCAGAAGCTGATATGAAGATAGGGCAAATACATACATGTCAGCAAATATTGATGGAAGGGGGGGGGGGGGGGGATGAGAGAAATAACATCAAGGAGATGAAGCAAACACCAGTGGCAAGAAACCTAACAGGAATGGGAGAGTGGCTTTTCTCACCGTTGAACTTAAGTCTTCCTCTGAGTTCAGTGGACTTGCTCCATTTCTTCTAATTATTCATGTAAATAGCATTGTCGTCTGCTGGTGTGTAACATGCATATATCTCTGCATCACATCCAAAGTCCAGTTCCACATTTCTAGCATGGAATTGCAAGTGTGATTTAAATTTAAACAAACAAAAAAAAAACCAACAAAACCAGAAAACCACAACGGAACAAAAATACCATACAGACCTGTCCTGAGCACAGACATTGTAGACACTGAGTGTAATGGAAACTGTGTGAAATAAAAAGCTGGGTGTCTGCCTTTAGACTGCTAAGAGGCTTAAAAGATTTTTTTCCCGCTTACTGTTAAGGAGCTTGGTGTATATGCATTTTGCTGTCTGTGCTTCCTGTACAAGGTATGAAAATAGGAGATGTCACGTCTCTGAGCAGGATGATTTTCTGTTGCCACAACTGTTTTTCTGGTGGCTAAATGCTACTGTTACTTAAGTTCATCAAGTGTCTACCTGAAATACAAGGCTATTATCTTCTGGGTATGTCACAAACACAGTCATCAGAGTAGCCATGTGCTCTTTATTTACAGCATGTGTAACAAAAAGACTAGTCCTAAATATGACATTAAACACCCATTAGCTGGGCTTAGCTTTAATTTGGGACATCTGAGGCTGTACTAATCTGCACTAATCACACACTCTCTAGTATTTGCACTCCAGACAAACCATGCTGAGCATGAGGGAATTATCTTCCATAATGCTTTTGGGTTTCATGTTTGTGCTCTCCTACGTGACAGATTCTTCTCCCACTCTGAAACTTTCAGTTTTGCATTTGTCTTGGACCTTGGGACTATCGCTTGATAACCTTTCACAAATTGAGGGAGGCTGGCACTGAAAGGGACACAACATGCAACAAATTCAGTGAAGGGACTATGGGTTTATTCTCTTTCTGTGTACTGTATGTTCTCGTGGCACTTGGATATCTTGTGGAGGAAGGTATTACAAGTCTGGTACTGGGACTTCAAGATAAGAAAGTGGTTACACTTCTATGTTGACTTCTTAAGGTGCAAAAAGTTAGCTATTTGAGTACTAGCCTTTGATTTTAATAGACAGAATTGATTTGGGCTCACAGAGAATTAAAAACACTTTGGAGAAAATATCCCCTTCTTCCCCGCTCCTCACCCCAACAAATTCCTTTTGATGTGAAAATGAAACTAAGGCTAGTTTGAAAAAATTATCTTTACGGGGATGGGAGAAACCCCTCCTGCTCTTGGATGAATGGTTTAGTTGAATAAAAATAAACTTCAGCCCTTCTGTGTGAGGAACGGCTGCAGACTGACATGCTTTACTCTTTCTAAAGGAAGGTTATGGCATCGGGGATGATGAATACTCCTGTGCATACGATGGCTGCCGGCAGCTGATTTGGTATAATGCCAGAAGTAAACCACATTCCCATCCCTGCTGGAAAGAAGGTATTCTGCTGTTTATCCTAGCTGGATTTCTGCAAGAGGAAAAAAATCCTCTGTAGGTGTCTAGAAAGCAGTTTGTTAGTAGGTGCGCACAGAGCAGTCACTGCCTAATCCTGACCATACTAAAGGTTTAATAATTATTGTGCTTTTACCAGTATTTGCAGTGGTTTAAATGTACAAAGTGGGCACCGTGCTCTTGTTCCACAATCTGTGTAAAGAGAATCTTGTTGGTTAAATGCTTTTTCTTTTCATAGGCAGAGTACAAATCATAGCACCAACTAATGTTGCTGGACACTTAATCATAAAACTTCTTTCCAGATGTTTGTAGTCCTACAAAACAGGGTTGAAATCTTCCTTTCTGGGTTGAAAGAGTTATTTTAAAGAAGGGAAAAAGCCTTGATCTCTGAATTAGACCTTTTTTTTTAAGGAGGAGTTGCACTGTCTTGCTTACTTTAAATCCTTGGATAACTACTTGGACAGCAAAGTTCTGTTCTTGATCTCAGCTTTGAAATCTTGGTAGGAGTCTGTGCATGCCATGCTTGTGTGAACTGTGCCGCCTTCTCTTCTATTAAAAATTTCTCTCAAGGACGGCTAAATTAAAACACCTCTTAAAAATAAATAGCACAAGCATATTAGAAACTTAGACTTCAGCAAGTATGTGTTCTGAGGATATCTTCAACGGGTGTAAAATAGCCAGGGAGAGAGACAGAGTACTGCTTTTTTCTGGCTTTGGCAAATACTCTGCAATACTTCTACAACTATGTAGTATTAATGCTCTGGCAGACTAAAAAATTTCTCTCTCTACTATTTTGTCCTGGTCTTTTTCTTTAGTTACTGTCTGTATCAATGTTTCTTCCTTTATGCTTTTGCAGACAGTTCCTTTTAAGTGAGACAACTCCTAGTGAGATATGTGATACTTAAAACAATAACTGTTTCAGCTGTTGGCATTTAACAGAAGTGAAATCTTTAAATTATTTTTGTTTTGCATGTAAGGAGACACAATAGGATTTCTACTAGACTTGCAAGAAAAGCAAATGATCTTCTATTTAAATGGAAACCATCTTCCTGCTGAGAAGCAAGTATTTTCATCTGCTGTGTAAGTATGTGCTCATTTGGAAGGACGGTGACCTGTATGGATAATTGTTTTAATTATATGAAGTGTTTCCCATTTAAGATGTAAATTCATATTTGCTTACCTGAAGCCATCATTAAGCAGGTTTCCCAACTGAAAGTTGCTTAGAAATCGGTGAGAAGGATATAATTTTACAGGTGGATTTCAGGGTCTAAAATAAATACTTTGGACCTTCCAAAGGTAGGTTGAACTCTGTCTTCTACTGTCAAACTAGCACAGCGCTGAAATAGAATGAGGCTGTAGCAAAGATGAACAAATCTCTAGTAGTGCTTGAGGAATTTTTGATCTTTTTAAAAAATAAAGCCTCAGTCCTGTAAATGCTGAAGAGTGCATATTAACTTACTGCCGTTCACTGGGGCCAGTTCCTGTAGTAGCATATTGAATATTCCTGGGAGGACGTCTCTTGGTAGCATTGCAGAAAGGCGTTAGGCTTATTTTGCCAGCTCTGTTAAAATGAACACATGGGTAACTCCTCTGACTCTCATGGAGAGGTTCAGCCTTTTAGTTCTGAAAAGATAAGCTGGTGTGATACTTCAGAAAGAAGCTTCCTATGCAGCTTAATTAAACATTACAGTACTTTGTAAATTAATACTACTGTGCTAATAATTTCATTCACGTTTTATCCGCAAAATGAAGTTCAAGATGCAGGTAAAGAATAGCTCAGTTTAGAGAGTTGCAGAGTATCTTGTCTGTTCGGCTTGCAGCACTCTGTTCTTCATGTGGAGTATGTCATTTATATACTCAACAGATTCTGTTACTTGGTTAGGGCTTAGGGCCCAAGTTGACTAATACCCTTTCAGTAAATAAAACTGAAAGAGGTGATAGTTGTGGTGTTTTTACAAGGTGTCTGTGTGGCTGTGAAGAAAAGACAGCTGTCCTGAGGTAATCCTGCAAGGGCAAGGAGGAACAGATGGGCGTTGCGCTAAGAGAGCTCAGACCTGGATTCATCCTGCGCAGGGGTCTCACAACGAGTGTATGAGAGTTGCAAGTTCCCCAGACTTGTGCCTGCTCAAATAAAGCAGCAGGACCAGCGGACATGGAGGTGTCCCCTGCGGTTGGTACTGCTCCTCAACTCTACTAAACAGCAGTTGTTTGGAAGAAAAATGCTTTTTCCAGTGCTGAAGGAGACACCTGAGCTGATCAGCGTAAAGAGGATCAGGTTGTAGGCTGTTCAGATGTATGTATCTGCTCTTAGTGTAAGTGTGACTAATCCTAGTGGTAGAGTAGGCAGCCTTTATTGGCTGACTCAGTAGTAAATTCAGATAAACCCTGATAGTAAATTCAGAAGTTGAGAACTAAACAAGGAAAGTATGTGCAGCCGAAACCGGATGTGTTAGAGGTTTTTCTCCCAATTAGCTGTAGAACGCTTCTATTGAAGGAACTTGTCTCTGTTTCAGGGTATATTTTTTGTCTGGTAATAGTAGTAACATGTCTGGAAAGCTCTATTATTGTTTAAGTCATTGTAAAATGTCTGTTGTTGATCATATTGCAGATCTGGCTTTTTTGCTGCAGCCAGTTTCATGTCCTATCAACAATGTGAGTTCAACTTTGGGGCAAAACCTTTCAAGTACCCACCATCCATGAAGTTTAGTACCTTTAATGATTATGCCTTTCTGACAGCAGAAGAGAAAATCATTTTGCCCAGGTAATCCTCCTGTCTAGTTTGTGTGTTTGCATATGGAGGAATAAAATGCTTCGCTTCTGAGTTGCATAGTCTTACGTTGTGCTTGGCAAAGATATCTTTTATGGGGTCACGCCTCCGTAGGTCTCTTTCAGAAAAGGATTAGACCATAGGCTCCAGTGCAACTTAATGAGTAGGGCAGGAGATACACAACCAAAATCCATTACATTAAAATATTTTTTTGTAATATTAAGCTAAATTAAAATTAACTAGTATTGCACAGTAAACCGGTTTTAGTATAAGTGCCTCCTGCCATCTAAGAATGATTAGGTTAGTTGAGGAGGTATAGTCTTAATTAAAAAAAGATGTCTTCTTTAAAACTGACCTAATTTGTGATGTTGGCAGCTTGGAGGTACTGAACGATTGTAAGACTTGAAGTTGTCCTTTTCTGATCCAGATGAAAATTTCCCTATTTGTGAATGATAGCACTGACGAAGGTTATCCAAATTTAGAAGTGCTTTCCCACCTAAATATAAATCAAGCCAGATAGAAACAGGTTTGGATACATTTTTCCTGAGCTTACCAAACTTCTGGCAGGAGTGAAAACTAATAGCTTTTCTGGTTTAGGTCACTAGTAATAAAATAATTTACTGGAACACAAACAGTAACAGTACACAGTGTAATCTGGGATATAGCGTACCCCGGATCTGCAAATTTGTCTAAAGATGGCCCTCTAGAGTGGTGCTGATGTATGTGGTTGAAATAATCTTTTGTTGCATCTAATTAAGTGGGGGTGGGGGTTGTTGGAGGCAGGTACCCCTGGCTATAACGAAATTCAGAGACTCGTTTTGAATTAGCTAGCTGTTTGATCAAGTGTACTTGAGGTGCTTCTTTTTGTGTTTAAAAGGAAAACAACAAAAAAAACCTTACTCTTGTCACATGTTGGCAAAGCTTGAGGCTTGTGACATTGTATGTATGCAGGGAAAATCAAATGCAACTTGCAAGACCATTTTGTACTTACATATAGCCAGAGTAATTTACACCTGCTTGTGACTGCAGGTGCTTTAAGTGAGAGTCTGATTTAATCCCTTAAGATGATCTGTCAGTTACCATTCTTGGTCAGCCCCCTTTTCAAGTTAAGTGTTCTTCTGTCTTATTAGTGTCGTGTGCTAGATGAGGGGGTTTGCAGTTTTTAGCTGATGATCAGATGTGATTATTGATGTCGTTCTGGCATTACTCTTGCAATGTTTAAGCATTAGCTGTGAGAGCTGTTGTTTCAATGTTCCAAAAGGCGTAGAGAGAAACTGAGGGAAACGGGTTTCCTGTTGATGCCTGCCTGGAGAAACTTGGCCTATTTGACATGTGATAGCACCGAAAGGTCCATTCAAGGCTGGACACTGTTGCTCTTTGTGTAAACAAAGATCATCCCTGCCCTATAGCCTGAACTGTCTGGAAACCATAAGCCAATCCTAAATTAAAAGATAGCTTTCATCTTAAAAGTGATAGGGGGAAAAAAAAAGGCAAGGGCCTGAGTGAACCCTAATTATCCATCGCAGGAGTTAAACTTACACAGTTGTCCTGAATTTAATGCATCTAGTGTTGGGGCGTAGTGTGGGCTAGACATGTCACCCTGCCATTGAACGGTTTTGATGTGGAGTGTGTGTGTTCCAAACTTGGATTATCTTATTTCATCAAATGGGGGATTTTTATCCATTTACTCTCCCCTGTGGCAGTTGCCATGCTGGGCTGCTGATCTTACTTTCAATTTCTATCCGTTTAAACTGCGTTACATCATTATAGGGTTTCTGAATTTTGTTGATACATGGGTTTGTGTGGTTTATTTGGTTTTTTTCTTAACTCTTAAAAGTACACAGATACTGAAGAAGTTTTTTGAAGTGTTCAGCTATGGGAGCTAGAAGAATTGTAATCTAACCCCCTCTTTGTCCTTTCTGACAGACCGGAATAGGGAGTCGAAGACGGTTCTGAACATCTCTGGGTGTGCTAAGCCTTTTTTGTGGGAAGTTACGGTCGATGTTTATCAGCAGTAGTGTTGAGTAGCACAGGCAAGTGTTGCATCGGTCTTGATGCAATACTCAGAATAGTTACGAATCTTATCGTTTTGAGGCAAACTAATATGTGTGTGTGTGTGGGGGGGTGTCTCTTCAGACACAGGCGCCTGGCTTTGTTGAAGCAAGTGAGTATCCGAGAGAACTGCTGCACGCTTTGCTGTGATGAGGTAGCAGACACAGAACTCAGGCCATGTGGACACAGGTAAAACTTTTAAGAACAACCCAAAATGAAAGAAACAAGAAAATGTGTGTGTTTGGTGTTCAGCTTAGGTGAGACCAGATGCAGTCCCTGCTTATCTCGATTGACTCCCCAGCATAAAGGAAATAACCCCTCCTTTTAAGGATGTGACAGATAGAGGTTAAGCATAGTATTTCCACCGTTCCCCTCACGCTACCCCTGAGCAGATTTAACCCTAATTGTGTGCATGTTTGGGGATGGGGATGTACTGTGGCTACGTACGTATGCTACCCCTGGGTGACCGGGTCTTAATTCCCTGATACCAAAGGTTTTATTGATGAGTACTTGTTTAGTACTGGTGCTGTGAAATCCAGATCACATGAGGAGAGCAGAAAATTCATTGTATACTCAAATACTCATTAATGTTCAACAAATGGATTGTCTCAAGTCACGAATTCCTCTAAAAGCTAAAAATGGGACAGCAGCATGAGTAAGACCATAATAGCACTTGTCTGCCTTTAAGCAGCCTAGTAGGAAATTAATCCAGTTAAGTCCAGTTCCTTAGTGTTTTTAGAGCACTCGTGTAAGCAGTCTTGCCATGGGTCTAGATGCTGGAAAGTTAAAAAGAGAAGTGCCCGGCGTGTGTCGACAAGAAGTGGAGACAGCTCCACGCAGGGCGCTGGGACTGCTGTTCTCCAGAGCAGAGCTTTAGGAGTAACAAAAGCACGCAAGCCGTAATCCCGACCAACTGCACCAGCAGTTTCAGGTCTGTGAGATGCTGAGCAGCAGGAGCTCCTCTCAAGGCCTGTGGATCCACAACACCTGACTTGCAACTCCTAATCTCTGCACTGAAAGACTTAGCCTGCTAGAAACACAGACAAGATAACTAAACTGCTTAGCGCTTGGATTTTTTTTGTTCAGTTTTTCATACTGTAAATGCAGGCTTTAACTGATTTTTTTTTCCTTCTTCTCCCTCAGTGACCTGTGCATGGAGTGTGCCTTGCAACTGGAGACCTGCCCTTTGTGTCGACAGGAAATACAAACCCGAGTCAGACAGATCTCTCACATCTCATGACACACGTGGAGAAATACCACAGACTTGTTTCTAATGAACTCCAACCAATACTGAAAGGGGAAAGCATCTCTAACCAATCTTTACGCACATAGAACCATAGCCACGGCCAGATTTCATGCTAAACTGTAATCTGTTTATCTTAAAAATGAAATCTTTAATAAGCTATTTCAAGTTGCCAGCAATGGGAACTGGTTTCAACAGTAAGGAGAGCTGGTAGGTCAGCGTGCTATGGCTATTGGTTCCTCCAAGCAAGACCATAGGAGTGTGTCTCTCCTCTTCCCCCTTTTCTTCTCGCCTGTCGCAAGTGCTGAAAAAATTTGCACTGGAAGTACTCGTACAATGCATTTTAGAAGAGAAAAGAAGTATCTCCTAAAACAGGGCTGTTCTGTCTTGTGCTCGAAAGTCTATTTTTGGCAGAAGTCAATACTAAAAAGAGAATGCCAATGTTTTCCTGTTTAATGTAGCCTCCTGCTGGTCAGAGACTCTGTATTTTCCGACAGTGGATATTAAACTGCTCAAAGACTTAATCTGTACACAGACTGATTTGAGAAGACAGTGTGGAGACTGTAGAGAAACTCACGTTTTAATAACTTGGTGATTCCAAAGAATGTTCTGATTTGTTTTTAAACGTTAAAAGATCGGTGGTATTTTCAAGTACATAATGTTTCTGATGCTTTTAACTTCAGTACCCACATTTTTTTGTGAGGATATAATTTTCAGGAGGTATTCTTAACTAATTATAACGCTGGACTGGAATTAATTTGATATTCTGGGTATTTTTTTAAGGTATCATCGAACATCTTTTTTAATCAGTGTTGCTTTTGAAAGTTATGTTCACTTTGGAAATATTGAGCTATCTTAAAAGATTGGAGGAGAATTTTGGGCCAGTTTATTTAAAAAAAAAAAAAAGAAATGTTATTTGGATAGCAAGTTTGGTCTTATTCTGTAACTCTTTAAAAATGCACCTTGCTTGCCACGTGTCAGTCCTGCTCTGAGCAGGTTTGGGGCCACACTTCATGTTTTTGGTAGGGATCATACAGTGGGAATCTCTGCTCCACTTCAATTACACGTTTGTGACATTTGTATGTTAAGGACGCATTTCAGCAGGCAGCTTTTGACTGTTATACTAGGTTTCTACAAGGAATCAGGGTTCATAGCTGGTGTCAGTGAAGTAGCACAAAAATCGGTGGAGTTGCGCTTATTTTGCACCAACCGAGGATATGACTCGGTCTCTTCCAAGACTTGTACAGGTTGCTTTTTTAATTTATCTGGCTATATAGTAGAACTTTACTAATTCACACACAACTTACACCAAAACCATCCCACTTCTTGGCAGTGATTCAGCAGCAGAGGCTGTTGTAGTGAATTCTCATGCTGCGATGTATCTTATTTTTAAAATCGTTTATTATCTTTATTGTACTATCAAGTATTAACAAGCAGAGCTGAGGCTGCTTCTTCATTCTGCTCTTGCTTCCTACTGACTTGGAGGAGCTGAGAGCTCTGCACACAGGTCCCATAATCGAGCTCTATAGCAACTCCTTTCACCTTCTGCCTTTGCGAACTCAAGGGTGCTGAATTTCATCCAGAGATTTAAAAAAAAAAAAAAGGGGGGGAGGAAGTGTCTCCATTGAACCTCTGGAGTACAATGTGTGAATTAGGAAAGTTCTGTCCATCGTTTTCTTGTTGACTTTTTCCCAACTATAGACTGAATCCAAAAACAGGAGTGCTGGTTAGTCCTTTTTGCTAAAAGGTGAATTCTCTTCTGCGTTGGATGCCTGTTTTGATTAAAGTCAGGCTGGCAAATCTGTGCCACAGGGACCTCGTTCCCTCACTGACCGTACTTTACAATGTTTTGCTGTAATCCACGTTGCCAGTCAGGGCCGAGTCCCTTCCTGCTCGGTGCTGAATGAGCAAACATATGAACACCATCACTGCCACAAAGGTATTAGAATTTCAGAATCACTTGAAGTTTTAAATGCTTCCAAATGCAACGATAGGTTTCTATCCCTAAGGTGCAAAGATACAAACCATACTTTAGGGAAGAGGTGGGACAGAACCACTTTGAACTCTGCCTTAATAGATTCTAGTAACTTCAGGGCTTTGCTTTCCCTGGCTGGGATTAACTGAGGTAAAATTTTCAGAAGTGCCTAGGACTCCTGATTCGTACCAACTGCTGTATCAGACTAAGCTCTTACGGCCCAGGTCCGCAACGGCTTCTAGGTGTCTGGTGTCCCCTTGAAATGGAGGTGACCCAAGAGCCTCGCTGCCTTTGTGGACACAGGACTAAGTGCCTGCATTCTTTGTTGAAAAGATGTGACCGCTTTGGAAAATTTTGCCCCAGACCGTCTTCCGTGCAGCTGGTGCTGGGCAGAGGAAGCCAATGGTGCCGGAGGAGGGAGCTGTGTTGCAGAGAACTGTCCTGTTCATTTCACAAAGGGAAGGACTGTACAAATTCGACTGGCTTTCTGCTGAAATCCACGATGGGGGCGTCTTTGTAAAGCTGGATCCTCCACGACCGACCGGTGCGGTGCCGCCCTCGGTCCCTGCATGCCCCAAAGGCTCTGGGGCCCGGGAGGGGAGGTGGCGGCTCCGCAGGCCCGCAGAAGGGGACATGAATTGTAGCGAAGTTGTCCATCCAACAATAAAAACGTCTTGAAGGCTGTTTGTTGCTCTTCAGTTCTTTTGCTTCTCTTGAGAGCCGGGTGCCTCTGCTCTGAGGCAGAAAGGCAAGTCCAGCACCAGGCGGTGCCCGGGTTTGGCGGGCTTGCGCCCCTCAGGGCCCTGCTTTGTGAGGGGGAAACCCACCTAAATAACGGCGGGGGGGGCTGCGTGCCTCATAAGGAAGCACGCTATCTGTGTTTTCGTTTTATTTTCTTCCCAGGACAGCCTTCTGACGCCTGGACGACTAAACTCAGCCCGGGAGGCGGG